ACTCTCCAGGACCTTCCATTACAGCCACGTTTTCCAGGCCTCTCTTGTTAGACGACGGAGGTTAAAACCATACTCTTCCAGAGAAGATGCAACGCTTTAGAGTCAGACAGGGTCGATCTGCACCATCTCTTCCTCTCATTTGCTGCACGACCTTGGGCAGGTATCCAACCTCCCATCGGATTCACCTCTACCTGCCTCCTGCTCCTAACAGCTTCTGGATACAGTCTCTCCACAGCCGAGGCTCCTACCAGCCATTTTGTACGTGATTCTGCTCTCATCTCCCTTCCCCCAGTGCAACAATGAACTGGTTCAGATGTCTCCCAACCAAACTAGGCTGACCATATTCTTCTCCCTAGTAAATGTGACTAGGAAAGTCTAGGTTTACTGGTCTCTTAAAGGGAAATGATGTAAACCCACAAATTGTGATGGGTGATGTTCTTTCCTGTGGTCTGAGGGTTCAGAAAACCCCAATGTGTGGCAGAGAAAGGCACAAATGAGGCTGATGCACAGAATGGAGCAGAGACAAGGGTCAGAAAAAGAAGATTCATCTCCACATCCCTGACTCGTCCGGAGGCCTGAGCTCACTCCTGCACGTGGGCTTTATGAAAACGCCGCTTCTGCTGGAGTCGGCTCTAGGGGAGTTTCTGCTGTTTACCACCAAGAGTCTTAGTCGGTTTGGGCTGTTAAACAAAGACACCACTTGGCAAGCCATGCTGTGGCAGGCATCCCACATATAAAGTGGAGGAAGATGGGCACGGATATTAGCTCAGGGGATTGGCAGCAGATGTTAGCTCAGGGCTAATCTTCCTCAAAACAAAACAAAACAAAACGACAATGGCTAATTGACATCCATAGAGGAGTGTGGAGCATTGGCCGAGTCAGGCGCACCAGTGCAGCTCCGACTCCTCCTGGAGCAGGTCACCTCCTCTCAGCCTCAGGTTCCTCATCTCACAGGGGAGACACTCATAGTCCTTACTTCATGAGATTGTTGCAAAGATTAAATGGGACAGTAAACGAAAAGCTCTTAGCACAGTGTCTCGCACATAATGAATATTCACTAAATCTTAACAGCTATTGTTATAAACAAAATACAATTTATTGGAAGTTATTACATATGGGGGGCTCTGAGAATGTTATCTCTAATCCTGATAGCAATCTTCAGGGTAATTACTGTTTGTCTCCACCTTAAAGATAAAAGAGTTAAATTGCTTGTTCAAGGTCACTTGGCTAGGAAACAGCAAAGCAGAGGTTCCCTTGGGTCTGAAAAAAACATGTCAAATTTCACTGAGTGCCTTTAAACTGACAGAAGAGCTGCACAGGCAATGCTTCCCTCCAATGTCTTTATGTTTCACGTTGGCTTTTATAAAACCTTTACGTCAAGATAAGCTCAGAGGACAATCTTAAGTAGAATATCTGACTTGATCAAAATCAATTTACTCCTTCAAGTTTATCACAGAATTTGGAGTGAAACTTAAAATGCCTTTTCATCTATTAACTGCACCCCATATATGAACTTTAGCAACATGAAGTTTAAGAGTCTCTGTACTAGTCAGGAATACTTGGTAATGATTAATAAAGCCCATGTCTGAATATCTTAAGCAAAAGAGAAATTTATCACTGCTGTGTTTGCAAATTCTAGAACCTAAGCTTCGGGCATAGCTGGATCCAGGCTCTTTGATCTCATCCCCTTTCTGCTCTCCCCTGGCTTCCTCCCCTTCTGCTGAAACAAGGCAGTATGTGTGGATATAGATATCTGCCAACAGCCTCAACACCTTATCCTGGCAGTTTAGTAACCTCAACAGATAGAAGACCTCCTTTCCTCCAATCTGAACATGTGTCGTTTATAAGAACTCTGCTTGGCCCACTGACGCCCGAGTGTGATCAGTTCTGTGAAGAAGTGAATCCTTCAGTAGCATTGCATTAGTTTACTATGGCTGCTCTAATAAATTATCAGAAACTTGGTGGTTTATAACAACACAGATTTATCCCCTTACAGTTTTGGAGGCCAGATGCCAAAATCAGACTCTCTGGGCTAAGGTCAGGGGGTCTGCTTAGCAGGGCTGGTCCCTCTGGAAGCTGTTGAGAAGAATCTGTCCCCTTGCCTCTTCTAGCTCTGGAGCCACCTGCGCTCCTTGGCTCATGACCCCTTCTTCAGGTCACTCTAACCTCTTGCTCGCACGGTTACCTCTCCTACTTCCGCTTCTGTAGTCAAATCCCCCTCTGCCTCCCTCTCCTGGGGACACTTGTGATCACATTTAGGACCTACCTGGATAATCTGGGGTGATCTTCCATCTCCAGATCCTTACCTTAATCACACCTGCAAAGTCCCTTTTGCTATAGTAGGCCATGTTCCCAGGTTCCAGGGTTAGGACGTGGACATTTCAGGGGCCGTTATTCAGCCCACCACAAGCATGGCCCAGGAGGGTATGGCATCCGGCTCAATCAGTCATACTATCAGGCAGAGAAAGACACATTCATAAGCAAGAAGCCACAAATTATACGGAGGAAAGAGAAACCACTGGGGATCTGGTCTGGCTTCTTGACAGATAATTATAATAATGATGATGTTGCTCATTATGTGTCAAGAATTGTTCTAAGTGCCTTCCTTACATACTCACTCAATCTTCACAAAAGTCGTCCTCATTTCGTAGAAGTGAAAACTAAGACACGAAGATGTTAAGTGACTTGCCCAAGACCACATGGAACTAGCAGAACCAAGATTCAAACCCAAGGTATCTGATTCTAAGGTACATACTCTTGACCATTTAACATGGAACTTAAAGAATGGATGGCAGGCTGACACAAGTGAAGAAACGGAAAGGTATTGGTGACAAAAGGAACAGAATGAACAAAGGCAGTAAAGTGAAAGGTGGGTTCAGGCCAGTGAGTAGACTGGGTTGGACAGAGTATAGCAAGCCAGGGAGAAGTGGTGAGAGAACAAGCTGGAGATCAGAGAAGACTATGGACCCTGACCTCCACGGCTGCTGGGGGCCCTGGGAGACACGTGCCTGCAGGAGGTGGCTTCACAGAGCTGTCCCTTGGGAAGACTGATCTGGGAGGCTGGGCTGGAGCAGTGAGAAGGGAGATGCCCTCTCTCCCCTGAGCCCAGGGCACTCTGTACTGTAGAACTACAGAGGGAGCCTGGAGGGAGTTGAGCCATCATCCCTCTCTGGCTGCAGGTGCCAGGAGGTGACTCAAGTCCACCTGGAGGCCCCTGGTCCCACCCAGCAACCGCCATCTGCGTCCTTGGCTACCAGGAGCAGCCTCCTTGCCAGCCCAGCCACTCCATCTCCCGCCCCTCTGGTTCCCCCAGGAGGCAAGGCGTGTGGACACTGGGGCTGCTGCTGCTACTGGGAATAGTAACCCCATTTTGGAGTCGATTTGAAGTACCTTTACCCATATCTGCTGAAATCTTTCAGCATAATAAATAGTGCCTGGATATTTGGGATATGTATATTCACATCTTGGCTCTATCAGTTGCCTCTGTGGAGTCTTGGGTAATTTCTCAACACCCAAGCCTTGTTTTTCTTAATCTTTAAAATAGAAACAAAATTATTTTATTGGTTATTGCTAACTTATAAGGTAATAGTGATCTGGCTCAAATAAGGGATCTGCATATGGATAGCTCTCAAAATTATTATCTTTTTAATATTCTTATTTAATTTTGTAGCCAACTTACCTTCGAGTCCATGCTATTATTTTTCCACATTTTACAGATGAAGAAACTGAATCTCAGGGAAAAGAAGGGATCTGTCCAAAGCCAACCAGTGGGGGAGGCTGGATTTGAGACACAGGTGTATGATTCCCAACCACGTGCATCTCATAAAGAGAATGATGCTTAGGGGAGAAGGCAGGGCAAGCAGGACCACACAGGGAAGCAAGATCCACCTCAGAAAAGACGCTCCCAGATCTCTGAGGAAGCTCCAGAGCACAGATTCCAGAAAACACTCAGCCCCCTGGCGGCCTGCCACACCAGGGCGCCTCCCAGGAAACCTGGTCCCGCCCAGCAACCACCCTCTGCATCCTTGGTGACCAGGAGTCGATCACTGTCACGACTGCTCTGCTCCCATCCCCTCCTGGCTTGGGTCCCGCAGGCCTGTGGTCGTTCGTGGAAAGAGCACTGACGTGCCCTGAGCTGCCCGGTGGGAAACGCCTCCTCTGTGGTAAGACCTCCCCTTGTTCTCCTCTGGGAAGGGCTGGTGCACAGCTGCTGGGCAGGGCAGAGAGGGGCCCCCACAGTCACAGATTCTGGTCTTTGAAGTTTCCAGACGCTTTCAAAGAGGTTGCAGGTCCAGCTGGATGGGGTTATCTGCCCAGGGGTCTGAGTGGAGCTGGGGCCTTGGAAAGAATCCTGGGGTAGCTCTCAGACCTTACTGGAAACAGGTCACTTTTCTGCCTTTGTTCATTCTGTTCCTTTTGTCTTCAATACCTTTCCATTTCCTCACTGTGTCAGCCTGCTATCCATTCTTTAAGTTCCATGTGACCTTCATCAAGTAACACACCCTCTCTGGGCCTCAGTGTCCCAATCTGTAAAGCGAGCATTTGGATTAGAATGATTTCTAAAAGGCTTTCCAGCTCTGAGAGGCTCTGAAAAGGAGTGGTCAGCCTGGGGCCAGGTTTACAGAACTTCTGAATTCCCCTTGGCATCAGACCTGTTTAAACACCCAGGGCTTACCTAGCGCTGGATCTCAAGTTTAGACTCATTGGCCTGTTGCAGAAACAGATCAGTGATAACAAGAATTCCTCTTTCCTAAGTGCAACGCTCCTTCAGATGCATTATCTCATTGGATTCACCCCAAGTCCCCAAGAGCAGAACCAGAATGATTCCGCTTTCATGAAAGGGGAAACTGAGCATCAGAGCTGACTATAACATCCTCAAATGTCCTACTAAGTTCTAATTTCCTTTCTGACCTCACAAGAATGCCATCTGATGTCAGGATAGTCCAGTCACTAAGTGGCTCAGTAGACCAGCTTGCAGACTTCTTAGGTGGGACTCCAGAGCCGCCAGTTTCTGGTTGTGTGGAATGGAGTAAGTTTCCGGTTGTGTGGAATGGAGTAGGTTGCTCAGCTACGTTATGCCTGCTCCCTCAATGTAAGACGAAGGCGGCGATGGAGCCGTCGCTCCGCTGCAGTGGCTGTTCAGGGAGCCGCACTGTAGGAAAGTGCCTGGTCTTGCCATATTGTCGTTGTTGCTGTTGGCAAGGATGCTGCAGCTGCCCACTGAGAGGAGAGGCCTCCTTCTTGTCCCCCTCAAGGTTTGAAGAAGCTTTGAGGAGAATCGTGTATTCAGTTTGGAAGACACCCCGTGTGCCAGACGCAATGCCTGAGGTGGTGGTGAAAATCATCGGAAGTAAACACTTTCGATACCTTGCGGAGAAGCCAAAGACGTAACTTCGCTATTTGAAAAATATCTATTTTGCTTGGATGATAATGAAGTTTTGGGGTTTTTTTAATCTAGAAATTTACATTTTGAAAATGTCATCCGTGGAAAATTAAGTCATTAAGATGTAACAGTAGAAGTAAAAGGGTCTTGATAACTTCCATATGCACTGTTTTCCTGATATTTTTCATCTTTACAGTTCCCCATTCTCTCTTTAATAACTTGGGCTGATTTCCCAAATAGACGGGAAAAGTAAGCATTGCGACGTTTATAAGCCTTAGTGGAGTGTTGCTGCTTCTCCTCGTCGGGTTTGTAATCTACCACGTGGCGGAACTTTTGGAGAGGGAGGAAGGAAGGTTGTTAGACAATTTGTTGTGAATTAAAGGAGTAGGACTGGTGACTGATCATAGCTAAGATTCTTACCTACTTCGTTCTTATCCGGTGCTCCTCCAGTCAGAGGCTTCTCAGAGCGGGACTGCAGATCTTTCTTCCTTCCCTAAGCTCATCAGTCACATTCAGGGGAGGACATTCATATATCTCTAAAATTCACTAATGTGTGTCACAGGAGGGTGTGACAGGCTCTCCCTTCCAGAGTTGAGGTGGTTCACGAGAGAAAAAGAAGGTACTAGAGCTGCTTTTCATCTAGTAGACATCCCGTAACTAGCAACGAGTTGATATTTGCCTTTCCCTCTTAAAATGATTTCCTAGGTGCTTTCCTATATTTCAGAAACACACAGCCCAGGTAGACAGACAAAGGAGATCAGGCCACACTGGACATGAGGGCAGAAAGCAGTGGATGCCACCTGGAGGGTCCTTAAAAGGAAAGATTTGCGGTCTAACCCAAGACCTATTAAATCAGGATCTCTGAAGGTGAGGCCATCAGGACCAGGTTCTGGAGCACAGCCTTCTATGGGCAAATCACTTTGACCTCCTGGCCATCAGTAGTGTCGGCCCCAGGAGGTTCCAAAGTGAGCGCTACAACCAGCCAGTGACATTGGCTGCCACACAGGAGCTGGGCTTTGCAGACCCTGGGTCACTCATTTGGGATCCCTACATGGCTGAGAGATGTGAGTTTGAATCCTGGCTCTGTGCCTTCCTGGTCTTTTGACACTGAGAAAGTTTATTAACATCTCTGGCCTCAGATTCCACATCTATCAGGTGGGCATAAAAGACATGCATCTAACGGGGTTGTTGTGAGGATCAAAGGAGAAGCAGTAGGCAAAACACCTTTCCCGTGCCTGGTAGGACACTCAACGTGCTTCTCAAATAGCTCTGCTGCTGTTAGAGTGCATCTTTCCACGAATACAGGACGTTGTTGGAAAGTCAAATCCCTTTCCATGGAATACTTGCTGATCCTTTTACCTTCTATGCCAGGAGGTAGGTTGTCTGTGTTTTGTAGATGAGGAGCTAAGATGCTGTGATAAGCGACTATTGCGAGATCCCATGTCAGGCCCTGGTCACTGTCATGAGCAGCCACTAAGATCCGTTGGGAAACTCCGCCTAGTTCTCCTTTTCCCAGGAAGACGATGTGTCTCTCCGACTAATTCCACTCCTCTCTGAGCGTGTTGCTCAGTCCCTTATATCCCAACCCCTTCCTTTTGCCAGGGAAATCAGAGTCTAAAAGTTCCTAAAAAAGTGTGTAGGGGAAGCATCCTGTGCTTTTAAGGAGGGAAAAGTTTCCTGTGTCTTGTAAGGAGGTGCCTTTTTCCCCTCTTTACTCTTTAAACCTCAGAATCCAGGAAATAAAAGAAGACATTAAATCAGTCACATGAATTATGAAATAAAAGACACAGCTTTGTTTTTCCTATGACACTGTGAAAAAACAACTGTTTTATGTTGGCAGGTTGCTTCTGTTTTCTATGGGCTTGAGGTTACTGTTGCTTGAATGACACAGGGCAACTACCATGCTTTGCCAAAATGCTCCTGTATGGTTCAAACATAAATAATTCTCAAAGGCTTCTTCTGCTGAGGTGGCCACAGACTCAGCACTGTCCTGCCATGCATGCCCGACAATCTGGCCCCAGAGCGTTTCAGTCAGCTCCTTGTCTACGCCTGTCAGCTGGGTTCTCAAGAAGGTATTTTCTTTGGATTGAATCCATTGAGCCCATTTACTGGTAAATAGGCATAAGAAATATAAGTAAAAGCCAAAAAAGGAAGAAATCTCTAAAAGGAAGATCTGAATTAAAAATAAAAATCACAAATTAATGGATAATGGTTGGAAAAAGAGGAATCTTGCTGTGTAACGACATTCAGCTCGGACTTCCTGTGGGGTGTGTGGAGAAGATTGAATAGTGTGTCAGACTGGAGAGTGATCTTCGGGATAAACTGGTATGTTAGTTTGCTAGGGCCACTGTCTCAAAGAACAGCAAACTGGACGATTGGACCAATAGCAATTCCTTGCCTCACAGTTCTGGAGGCTGGAAGTTGGAGATCGAGACCTGTGCTCCCTCCTCAGAAGGTGCCCGCGAAGGGTCTTTCTCTCCCGCTCTCCCTCCTTCCTTCTGGCAGTTCCTTGTTTGTGGCAGCATAAAGTTAAGCTTTGCATGGCAGTGTCCCTGCATGGGTGTCCGTGTGCAAATCCCCCTTTTTATAAGGACACCAGACAATTAGATCAGGGGTCCATCCTACTCAGCATGACCTCATCTTAACTAATTATATGTGCAGTCACCCTATTTCCAAATAACGTCGCATTCTGAGGTGCTGGGGGTTAGGACTTCAACATGCTAAGTTCAGGGGGACACAATTCAGCCATAACAGCCAGCCTGCTATCTTATGCATGAGATGAGACAACTGAGGCCTGTGTGGGCTTAAAGGAGGCCAGTTATTAAGAACCAAGACTGGGTCAAGCTCCCTCCTCTTCCCCTAACTCAGCCTATACAGTTATCGACAGATGAAGGGAGAATACTCAATACCTATGGAATATGCGTATTTTTCAGGAAAGAGATCTGTTTGCAGACTCAGAGAGGGAAGCTAGTGCCCCAGTTTGTGCTGCCATCACCTTCCTTCTTGTCACTGCACCAGCCTCCCAACCCCGCTCCCCGCCTCTGAGCCTTGTGTTCTCCAGTCCACTCTCTAAAGCCTTGCTCCTCAAAGTGTAGTCCTGGACCACCTGGAGCTTGTCGGAAATGCAGAACTTCAGGCCCGTCTCCAGGCATATTGAGTCAGAATCTGCACGTTATCTGGTTCCTATGCCACCTTACAGTTTGAGAAATCCAATTCTCACGTACGGGCAGCGTCATCTTTCTAAAGTGCAAATTGAACCAGGTGCCGCCACCACCAGCCCCAGGTCTGCCTGTGCCCCCATGGGTTCCCACAGCACCCTTAGGGATTGCCGCACTCTACGAAGACTTCCTATGCATTCCTGTCTCCCCATTTCACTGTAAATTCTAGGTGCAACATTGTACCCTCAGCATTGAGTACGAAGTCTTGCACGTGTTGAAAGCCTAATAAATTAATTAGAGCAGCATTGATGCAGAGAAAGTAAGGATCTAGAAAATATTTACTTTAAACCTAAGTCTCAAGGTGCCTTTTGCTGAAAAACCGTGCAGATGTTCCTATGGAACCCTCCTGAGGGATTCTCAATAGCTCATTGAGAAGAAGATATGACAAGTGACAGGAGACAAATATTCTCATTTTCTAAAGGGAGAAAAAAATGGGTAATAAAACCACAGAACTTGATGCTTGTCAACAACTCTGGCAAAATTGAAGGGCAAAGAATTAAATATATTAGTTGTGAAACAAAAAGCAGAAATGATGGTCACTAAGGGTTGGTACATGTTAACTAAAAACAAATAATGCCAAACTGGTCCCATTTCTCTATTAGTGAGGTAACTGCCGTCGAAGTAAAGGGAATGACGAAGACATATTGTTTGTTGGTTTCAATAAGTCATTAGGCACATTTTTCTCATGAAGTCTTGAAACGAGGCAGAGAATTCTGGACTGAATGGTATTAGGATGGGTCATGTACCAACGTGGTGGTGACTGAGCAGTGGATGTAAACATGTGTTGGAGGTGTGGAGTTGAGAGGATTTGTGTGTAACCCTGTTCTCAGTCAACGTGTTTTAATCCATAACTGAAGGAAGACAGACAAATCCCTTCAGTGAACATCTAGGTAGTAGATTGGGGAGCCTTGGCAGGAAAATGAACTAAAACCAACAAATGGAATCAGCAGAGGGATATGCAGAGTCTTTCTTTAGATAGGACTATAAATGAATGACTATATGGAATAAATGTTTAGGTTTTACTTGTTACGAAATGATTGAAAATATATCTATATATATTGTTGTCTGCTCCCAGTACCTGCGTGGAGCTCCTGACACCCCTGCAGTTTCCTGAGAGATAAGAGCACTGGGAGCATCTTTTGTTCTAATGTGAGCCTCTGAGCCCTTTCCTGGCACAGAGCTCCCAAGTCCTTGGAATTTCCTGGGTGATGGGATGTCATTTGTCTCAAGGAGGACACTCTCAGTGGGCTCCTGGATGGCTTCAGGCTGGACACTGGTCACCAGAAAGACCAAGCCATGATTAAAGGCTTAGAGTTTTCAGCCCCACCCCCATCCTCAGGGAAGGGAATATGGGTTGGAGATTGAGTTAGTGATGAGAATGCCTATGTGAAACCTCCATAAAAATCTCAAAAGTAAGGGGTTCAGAGAGCTTCCAGGTTGATGAACATGTCTGTATGCTGGGAGGATGGTGCACCCAGAGAGGGCAAGGAAGCTCTGTGCCCTTCCCACATAGCTTTCCTACACATCTCTTCCATTTGGCTGTTCCTGAGCTATATCCTTTTATAATAAATGAGTAACCTATTAAGTAAACTGTTTTCCTGAATTCTGTGAGCTGCTCTAGCAAATTACTCAAACCCAATGAGGGGCCATGGAACGTTGACTTATAGCCAGCTGGTCCAGAAGCACAGATAACCTGAACTTTCACACCTGAAGGGAGTGAGGCAGTCTTATGGGACTGAGCCCTTAACCTGTGGGGTTGTGCTAACTCCAGGTAGATAGCGTCAGA